TCATTTTATAATAGAAATAAATGACCAATCAGATCAAACTTTACCTATACCACTTAAATATTTACTATATTATATTTTTATCTGTTTTATCTGTTTACTCACACCGAAGTTTTACAAGTACCATACTAATACTTTATACTAGTAGCTTAGTCAATTTATATCGATCTGGCTAGTCTCAAAACTTATCTGAACCCATGGTCCTTTTTGAAAGATTTACTTTACCTTTCATGAAACTTTGACTTAATTTCAAGGGAGTTAAATTATGTTGTTTTTACTTTTATTTTATTTTCGCATCAATGAAATTAACGTTTAAGCTGTTCAGGTAAAACTTGCCATTGTTCTTACGCCGAAATCAGATTAAGAAACTAAGTGATAAAGTGAATTTAGAAAAGTAGATTTTCAGTTTCCAAACAATATCAATTACCTCTTTAGACTTCCAAATACCTCTTTAGACTTCTGGTCATGAGCTTACTAAGCCGGCCAAGAACGTGAGCTCACTGAGCTATTCTCAATTTTACTCTCTTTACTTTTTCTTATAAGTTTTTTACATTGGTCTTTCAATTTTGTTCTATAATTATTTTCGATTTCATTTTCATTATACTTTTCATCATTTCATTTTGCTCTTAAATGATGATTTTTCTGAATGAGAAAGAAGTCTCTTATGATGACATTTATTCTGATAAGAGCAATTTTTGTTTTTTTTTTTTGGATTCTTTTTAATTATTTTACTGTATGTATTTTTAATTTAAATATAATGAAAACTTAATAAAACTTTTCAAGAAATAAATTATTTTAATTGTTTTACCAAAGTATAAAATATAATTTACTAGAAATTTTCTATTTTGTGATTAATATTCTAATAAAGCAATTTTTTGCTTTGAACAACTTAAAATCAAGGCTAAATTTTCTAATTACTGAAATATTGAATACAATGTTTGAAAGACTTGAAATTTTTTTATAATGAGTATTTTCCCAAATTTGTAAACCAAAAGATTTTACGTATCCAAAACTGTTTGGAGATGATTCGAATAACATTAAAATCTTAAAACCATAATCTGACATCACACGATGTGACAATTAAAAATTTAAAGTTTGACAATGATTGTTAACGTTAATGTGATTACTAATCAATATGAATTGTCATATCGCGTGATGTCAGGATTATGGTTTTTGAGATTTTGGATAGCGAGATTTGGTTGTTTTGTATTTAGAAAGCGTGATTTTCCCTAACTGTCACTTATATCTGATAATGATTATCATTATTGGATTTTCATTATGTACATATTACTTTAATTGAAAAATCTTATTTACTTGGTTCATTAATTAAAATAAAATAATTCAAGCAACTTCAGGGGTTCTACACTAAGCCATATTACATTTCATGTACCTCTGAATTTAGACTTAGTGATTTAATTCCATTTTTATTTAGCAGTTAGTACCTAAATATGTTTTTTGAAAAGAAATATTAACTGTTATGTCAAATATATCAGCAAACTTTAGATTCACATTTAAGAATAATTCATTTTTAAAAAATTTACTTTGTAAAAATTAAGATTATTGTCTGTGAAAGTAAATTTATATTTTTTGTTTATAAAACTCTTTAACCCTTTCTTGAACGTCTCAAACCAAGTATAGCACATTATTTTCAGCTACTTTTGTTCTTATTTTTTTGAAACAAATTTATACAGAAAGAAAATACAGTTTTTACAGTTTACCTCAATAAAACAGGAATGAATTTTAACTCTTAGACCAAATATTATTACAGGTGATTTGATCAATATTTCTTCTTGAAGTATTCTGAAAGTGCATTTCTTCAAAATAATTTTGGTATCAATAACAATGAGAAACAAAATTTTTTATAAAAATATTATTAAGTATCAATGAAATTGTATAAATCATGAAACTCAAAGTAGTGACCTAATTATTTTAATTTTCAATATAAACTAAATTAAGGTTATTTTTAATATAACGTAAATTATCTTGAAGGTTATAATTATCTTGAAAATAAAATGTAGTATTTTCTAAAACAACTTGAATGTTTTTATCAGTAATTGAAGAATGTTTTATTTTTAGAATTCTGGTTTGATATTCTTGAATAAAATTTGATTTCTTTTTTATCCAATCAGATTGCAAACTTTTTGGTAACATGTTATATTCTGAAAGAGCGGAGTCAATGTCTTTACGTAGAAAAAATAATAAATGAGATAAAAGATTACTGTGACGGATAGAAGTGTCTATATAATACCCTATTAGCTGATAACAATCAACCGAATGAATCGCTATAAACAAATTCTTTATTAGATCGTTTTTCTTAAAATCTTTAAAAAATTTTTCTTCAAGCTCTTGGTGACTAAAAATTTTATCAATTCAATAATGAAATTAAATTAAATTTTAAAATATTGAAAAAAAGAAATTAAATTAAATTTTATATCATACCTAATAAAAGCAGAAACAATATATTGTCTACAAATTTTGATTCTTAATTCGAAGATTTTCACCAGATCATTAAAAAAATCACCACAATATTGGCATGTTTTATACATATTTTTTAAAAAATAAAATTCTGCCTTTGTCAAATTATTTGGAAAATTGTAATTATAATATGTTCGCCAGAAATTTTGATTATTATAAATATGAGATATTATCAATTTGTAAGTATTTTTGTCTGCTTGTGATAAAGTGAATATGTCTTTTAGATTTAAATGAAAAATAATTTTAATTAAAATTTCTTCAATCTCAAAGCCTTTCTATTTTTTTTTTTCAATGATCTCCATCTCAATAATTTCAGTAATTTTTGAGGGTCCAGCTTCAATAGTATCTTTCATTGAATAAAAAAATCTTAGTAAATAATTATATTCTCTGTAATATAAACAGCTATTGTTACTTACTAGAGTTTCACTTATATTTTTGTCTATATTCTTCAAGTATTTCTCTAATTCTTCTGTGTAAGTTTATTACTTCTTGATTCTTTACTTGAATTTGTTTGCCATTTTCATTTTCATCTTTAATTTGGATTAAACTGAAATTATTGCAAAGACCGCTTAATGTATCATGAAATTTACTATTTTCTTGTCTCAATTTTCTGTTTTTTTCTTTTAAAGAATTAACTTCATCTTGTAAGTCTTTTGCCAGAATCCTTAAATCATTGATTTCAGTTTGAAGCTTTTCAATTTCAATAATACAAGAATTATAATCACGTTTAGATATCTTGTTCCATTTAAGTTTACAATTAAGAAGTTTTACAGTATCTTCTAGATACTAGATTGTAAATTGTGTGATATCATATTGTTCTGAATGAAGTTTACGAGAATATTTTCTGAGTTTACTTTCACGAGTCATTTTCATTACCGTTTAATGTTTAAGGTTATGCTTTAAATACCTGGTTGGTATACAAATGGCACCATATGACCATGTGATTACCAATTGCAAAAAAAGATGCAATCAATTATATAACTAATTTTTTAAAGCTTCTAATATTTAGTTATAGCAATATTTTGGGATGCTGAACTTTAATTAGAGTACTTTTTATATTAATGTCAGATTTGCATAAAATAATGAAATATTTATTGTCAGTTATTGTATTTTATTATCATTATTTGTTATCTTTAATACGTATAATACATGTGATCCAGTTTTCATTCTTGAAATCGAGATCTTTTAAAAACTGGGTTATAAATATGTATTGATTAAATAAATTTTATAAAAATCATGTAATTTCTATTACATAAAACCAGAATTAAACTTAAAATTAAAATATCCGTTATCAGTAGTAATGCTTGGAAGGCTTAATAAAAGGTTTATTTAAGGATATAAATATAATATAGTAAATATTTAAGTGGTATAGGTAAAGTTTGATCTGATTGGTCATTTATTTCTATTATAAAATGA